ATTGAGCTTCAGACCCAAGAAGCCTGAGCCAATCCTGGTTTTGCTCTAGTGACAGGAGCACTAACTGGAGTTTATGTGGCACCAGAAGAAAGTGGCCTCCATGGATGGTGCGAGTTCTTCCTAGGAGAGTTGTTCTTCCACCATTGCTGCCTTCTCTCTCCAAAGCTGTGTAGCCCCCAGCAGAGTCCCCGAGAGAGCTTTTCGAGAGCTCAGATGTGCTCCGGGGGTTCAGTGCTGCTCCATTGGGTGTATTGCCATCTGCAGCAGCAGCTCTCCTCCGCCCTGCGCCTCCTGGCCTGGAAGGGATCCACCTTCATGCTTGGGGAGCTTTTTGGTTGCGGTGTCCATGTAGAATGAGAGATAGAACTGTCACTGGACAGTAGCCGTGCGAGTGATGATCACTGTGACACTGTGCTGCTGGGGACCGCTTCTCTGTCACTGATGCAAGGACTGGTAAGAGTTGATCCTGTCACCTGTCAGGAGCTTGTTTTGTAGTCTCCAGACAAGTTCTCCTGGTAGTCTGTCCATCAGTGCTTTGGAGGCTGTGAGGATAGAGATGAGGAACATACTCTTCACGTGCAGGGGAGGTTGGAGGGGTCCATCTCCTTCACTTGCTGTTACCAGCAGTTGGTGATGCTCCTCTCATGCATCTTATGAAGTAACCAGGGTCTCCTGGCTCACTGTCCCCTCTCTTCACCCATAGGAGAAGAAAGGAGGGCTGGGACTGTGCTGCTGTTTGATTACATTTATTTGAAGGTATTTTGCAAAACTGAAGTGTTCCTCTGGACGTTGAGCTGCAGAGAGCCTGCAGTTGAATGTTGGCTAAAGCTTGACATCAGCCAGTGGCTAGAAAATCTCTGTGAGATGGGAAATAATGAGTGACATAAGAACACAGCTCTTCCCAATTAAGCACAACAGCAATGACAAGGCAGTTAAAACTACTCTCGGGTGGTGTGGGACTGGTTCCCAGCCTGGTGCAGGTGAAGAATGAAGCCTGTGTTCAGGGATGGTGTTTCCTGCGTTTCCTCACGCCGTCAGGACGCCAGGACCCTCGGTGCTGTGAAATGAGATCTGTCTCATGCAATAAAGTGCTGGCAGCTCAGGGTGTCACAGAGGACGTGGAGGGTGTCCCGTGGCAGGAAGGGGCAGGAGCAGGGTGCCACAAGGGGATGCTGCCAGAGATGCAAGTACCAGCCCTTCTTACATGTCTACATGTGTATACGTGTGCGTGCATACACAAAGACACATATTTGTGTGTCTATATGTATTTTATATTTATAGACACACATAATCTGGGAAAAAAAAATCTTAATGCTTATAATTTATTCCCTTTTCCCCACCCTGGAGCTCTTTGCCCGGGATGTGCGCTGGCCGTGGGTCTGTGCAGGGCTCTGCTGGGTCCCCAGGCGGTGCCTGGCCTGGTGTGGGGTGCTGGGGTGCTGGGGTGCCAGACAAGGAGCCCCGGGGCTGTGGGGTCACCCCCTGCCCACATGGTGGGTACGTCGGTACCCATTCTGTAACCTGGGTACGTCTGCTGGCTGCAGCTTTCTGCTGTCCTAGAAAGAATCAGAAGACAGAGAAGGTCTCTGTTTGTTGTGGAATGGTTGTAAGATTGCTGTAAAAGTCCAGTGTTCTGTGGTTTTGATGGTTTTGCTTGTTTTGCTCTTGAGAGGATCTGGAGGCTCCTTTCAGGTCTTCTGTACCATGAAATCACGCAGAAGACACCTGCTGAGGTATTTGGGGCCGATTTCCTTCTGTACACCGAGTACCATGGGGCAATGTCAGAGGAATAGTATTGCTTTTAATTAATATCTGCATGTTTAGGTCCCAGCTATGAGCAGACAGCCCAGCTGGGAAGTTACTTTCTTGGCAGAGACAGATCCAGAAAGTGAGTGTGAAGAACAAAGTTATTGAGGGTCCATCAGTCTGGCCTAATAATTCATATATTCCTACAGCTTCAGGCCATCACCTCTGGCCAGTGCACATCTGTATGGAGACCAGTAACCCCAGAGCCAGCCAGATATGGACACTCCGGGTTTGAAGACTTGGAGAGATTTGTTCTCCCTCAGTGCATCTTTTGGAAAGCAGTTGTTCCAGTGGACCACCATCCATGCTAGCGTTTTATGCCTCATTTAAACTGGTTCCAGCTTCCAGCGATGAGCTCGTTCTCTCCTCTTCCCTGCCAAATTAAGGAAAGACAGTGTTTTCTCCCCATGAAGATGATAATGTGCTGCAATCAAATAATCTCTCAGTCTTCCTTTTGGCATGAGAAACAGATAGAAGTTGTTTGGTCTCACACAGTGTCATAAAATATCTTTTCCCAGTCTGAAACTGTTTCAGTGCCTCTTTTTTGAACCGCCTCCAGCTTTTCTAATCACCTTTTAAAAACGAGGGCGCTCAGTCCGTCTGCAGCAGCGCTGGGACTGGCTTCACCAGGGAGAAAATAACCTTTTTGTTCGATTTCAGGTGCATGTATCTGAAAATTGCCTTAGTCCTTTGGGTCAGAGCGTGGCTCTGTGTGGCTGCGGCGTGACCTGCCTGCTGGGATCAGGGCTGAGCACTGGGGTTGCTGTTCGTGGGGGCACCCACGATCCCGGACACGTTGGACTACGCCAAAACTGCTGGGTTTGGGCAGAGCCTGGGTACGAGGCGATGGATCCGATGGCATTGGTCCCCCTTTCACTCTCTGTGGGTCACCCGTCACTTTTAGCAATGTTGAATTTAATTCCAGAGCATGAATAAATCTGCCCCACATCAGCCCTGATGTGGGACAGCGATGCCCGTCGAGGATGGCATTTTGCCACGTCCTGTTGCTCTGGTTTCTACCCGAATGGGACACGAGGCAAAGCTGGGCGCTGGCAGAAGGTCTCTTATGTTCTTACCCAATTTATAATCTCCTCCGAAAGCCGTATCCTTAGCCTCACTGCTAGTTGTATTAGCTTTTAATTCCACGTCGCTTGGCTCCTGCATTGATTTTTCTGTTGTTTTGTCCAGGATTGGCAAGTACAGATTTCTGTACAGTCTGTAACCGAGGCATTTCCCTTCCCTTTAGGTACAAATCTGCCTTTCAATCGCACCTTTCTGCCTGCTGATGGGAATTGCACTGCGTTGCTTTTGATCTTCCTCCACTGTTTTTTTCCCCCGACCCTGTTGCTTTTGCTGCCTTTATCAGTGTTTTTGCGCTTCACACCTTCTCAGTTTGATTGACTTGCAATTAATCCCACCCTTTGCTGGTTGCTGAACGTTTCCTCCCTCACGGCTGCCTTTCCCTTGGCTTCGGAAGGGGTGCTCAGCCGCTCCGCCGTCGGGTGAGATTGATGGACCCTTTGGACATCCAATAATATTACCATAAAGATCGTCCAGCTTTCAACCACATTTTCTCTGTCTTAATTCATCTTTCTCACTTGTAAAAGCCCTGTATGATTTTGGGAGCACAGTGGGGGGGGGAGTTGTGTGTGAGGAGGATGGAAACGAGTGGGGAGGCAGGTCAAGGCTAATTCTTGCTGTTTAGGGGCTATTAATTGTACATTTCATTTCATAATGAGAATGAAGGGATGAATAATAAAATATCTGGTGCTACGATGTGACTGGCCCATTTTGAAATAGCAACTACATGTCCATGTAGGAGGTTGTGCAGTAATTATTGCAGAAGATTGTTCTCTTCGTTCATCTGCTCCTCTCATCTCCATCCTCCCCAATTACCCGCTTTGCCCGCAGTCGCAGCGTTTTGATTTCTCTACCAGTTTCATAACCCCTATCGGAAACCATTGCAGGTGTTAGTTTTCTCATTCATACTTTGTTCTGACTTTTATGAAGTTCCAAGCAATAGGATTTCCTTCTCTTTCACTATTGCATGGTCTCATAACTCTCATCCATAAGTTCAGTCTTTTTTTCACTTAATTTTGTCTATTACTTCTGCTTAAAATGTTTTCAAACACCTTCAGCTGTTCCCAGTGTTTACAAGACTCTAAATATGTCACAGTCTTTAAAGTTCCTGTTTCTGGGTAGTCTAAGCTATTGTTATGTATTTAGTTCTTCTGATTTCTGCACAGACTGAACCAGCAATTATTTTATCTTTGCGTTGCATGTTGGAATTTATTAATAACCAGTCTTAGAAACAGGGAGTGTTGGGTGGTGGGAAGGTACATTTGGAAGAGGCTCTACCCTCTGGATCACTACCTGGTCCTCATCTGTCGTGCTCAAAGCCTGCCTTTTGCTGATGTTATTCTACAGCTTGGGGGGGTCTAGTTTCCTTCCTGTTCTTAAAGGGTTTTGAATATTTATTTATTTAGATTGTTTCTCCCATGAATTTCCAGCTTTCTCTGTTCAAGGTGAAAACACATACTTTTTCCTTCATCTGCTTCTAAGTAAACTGGACTCCTCTTCTCTTCCCCCTGCCTTTCCCCACCCATCATGCTTTCTCTGTCATCTTTGATACCTGTATCTGTCCATAACGTAATAGTCTCCCGAAATATCATTGTACTACAGAGGATCCCCTTTGATGATCACTGTGTATGTTAGATAAGGCCATACGAATAGCGTAGGATGTCCAGTTGCTTTGAAGGGTTAAAAGAGAGGATGGGATGGTAGATAAACCCATGGAGGAGTGCACAGGGGTGGGGAAGATTCCAGATTAAAAGTGTCAGGAGGAGATGGCTTTTCTTTCACGTGTGTGGTCTAGTCTTGGCATAATATTTGATGGTGGTGTGCTCCTGACCTGATAGGAACCAGGTGAAATTCTGTGCTCTTGGTTAGTGTGTTTAATGACTGCTACTATTGTTTGTGATGATTAAGGTTATTTTCATTACTAGTAAATGGTTTTAGTACTTTTGTCTGGTTAAGTTTTAATTACTTACCATATATGACAGACACATATACCTACCTATACTATTTTAAATAAATCACATTACAAGAAAGTACCTTTGATTATGTCCTAGTGATTAGAAGGTGAGCGTGTGACAATGAGGATTCATGTTTTCTCCTCTTTTCTCCTCATTCAGGGAGTGTTTGAAGAGGAGCCCACGGAGCCCGAAAGCAGAGGGCTCCGATTCGGTGACATCTCAGTCCTCACCCAGTGAAGAGGCTGGAATGATGACTGAGGTGAAGGTGAAAACAGAGGTACCAGATGACTATATTGAAGAGGTGATCTGGCAGGATGACACCAAAGATTCCAAGAAGAACATAAAAGATGGGCCGGGAGACGTGCCCGCGGAGATCTGCGTGGTCATAGGTGGGGTCCGCAACCAGCAGACACTCGGTAAGCTCGGGAAGACATGTCCCATCAGTTGGTTCCTTGAGTCTGTGGTGTTGGGGAGAGGAACGAAGCTCTGGAGAGCTGTTCCTGGAAGCTTGGCTCTGCCAGGGGTACCAGAACTAAGGTGCACATCAACCTGGCTTGAGATTATTGACCTTCTTTAGCTTTTGCTGTCTGTTTGCATCTGGTCACCCCTGAAGACTCAACCAAGCTCAGGGCAACTGTGAGAAAAAGCTTATTATCTTCTTTTGACATGTTAAATGACTTGCCCATCAGTCACGTGCAGAATTCGTGGTGAACTCAGGGCTGGCAGTAGGTACGTGGGGTGTAGGTGAGGAGGCAATCAGGAGGAAAGTTGCTGAGAGGAAAGTGGCTGCTTTGCGTGAATAATTAGATTTAGCTCAAAAACAGGTTTTACAGGTTGCTGTTTGTTTGGTTTTCTGGTTGCTAGTAACGTATGGGGAATTATTTTGACTTTTGGCTGGCTGTGATGTGCCACTTCCAAGCTTGTGCTTCCTATCCCACCCCACCTAGAGCTGTCATGAGAAGAAGCATTTTCTTTCTTTCTGTGAACATCAAACCGTCCTCTTCTCCTGCTCCAATGAAAGGGCTTTCTGTGGGATCCCAGAGAGGAACTGGGGGAACTGCTTTTGCTAAAGGGACTCCTCTGTTGGCTCTGACATGGAGCAGGTCTCAGCAGTGACTTCGAGAGCCAAAGGCAGTGTCTGATATAAAGAAGGAGCAGTGGGACCCATATTTCCTTTGAGGGACTCAGGAGAAAGCTAATTTGAGCTGCCCAGTGTTGCTGTTGGGGTTGGTTTGTCTTTCAGGAAGAGAGAAAAGAGGTGTTGATGTTACATTTTCTCCTGGGTTTTGGTTGATGACTGTCCAGGTTGTTGGAAAGAAACTCTGGAGAGTGTTGTTAGCTGGTGGCTGTATCTGGAGCATCGTTGTCCCTCCTGTCCTCCTTTCCCCAGTAGGACAACCACTAAGAGTGGCAGGGTTGGAGGTTTGTGCTACTTATACAGGGTCAAAACACCTAGGCAATGCCTAAGAAGTCCATAACTGTTTCCAACTTAAAAGATCTTACAGTTCGGAGGAAATACTCCGTGTATATTTAGAGCTTTTGTGCCCACGCAGCTCTTGAGAGGTTGGTCACTGCGTGGGCAACCCTGAAACGCAGAGGTGTCCCTGGTGCTCTGGGAGGGATGGGTGAAGAGATGATCATTGATGGGATGCAAAGGACCTTCTCCTTCATGTGTGGTCACTGGCTTTTGATGAAAAAGCATCTGCAGATTGGGACTGTCATGTAGGACCCCATCATTCCCATGGCTTCTGGCTGGGCAGCAGCAGCTGCTCTGCAGTTGATGTCCCCTGAGTGTGACCATATTGTAGTGAAAAGTGGGGAACGGGCTTTTGCTGTTGGCTAACTTGGATGCACACCAACATGTCCTACCTACTGAGAACTTTGGGGACAGGCTGGAGTGAGAGGGGACAGTATTCAAGGTAGAGGCACCGCGGGGAAAGGGACAGAGAGTTATTGACCAGTTAACAAGTGGTGGTTGAAAGCTGCAGAAAGTAAACTGGAGAACCTCTATCTGGAAGGGCCTTTTCAAATGAAAAATGTGCATCATATTTGTTATTTTATAGCCTCGCGCTGGGTTTCTTTAAAGGCAACTTGGTCCTGAGGCGATTGGCAGTTGGCGGCCGATTCCTTTGTGAAAAGAGCCCTGTAAGTGCCCCTATTCATCTGCCATTCACATAACTCCTGTTTGTTGGGGAGGTGGCTCTGAATAACTTTTCTGTTTGCCCACCAAATACTGTGCTCTGTGTGGAACCGACCGTGGTGCCCAGATATCAGTTCCTTGTGGTTTCTTGAACTGGCTCCCAGTCAATTCTTCTGGTCCCCTCCATCCCCCTGCAGAAACCAGAGCCAGGCACTATTTCCATCGCTGCAGACATCTGTGGAGCTTGCGCAAGAGCCATCCCTCGCCTGCTGCTTCCCTGGCCATTTTGGCTGCTGCTCTGGAACCGGCCGAGATGGTGAACAGCTGAAGGCACCGGTGCCTCCTACCTCCGGAGCAAGGGCTTTGTGCTCTCTGCTGCTCCTCACCAGTATTTCCAGGAGTTTTTCTCCCTCAAGCCCTTCTCGTGATGTGATCTGGTAGCCCTGTATCTAAATCACTTCAGCATTGCAGAAAGGCAAGGCTTTGGTAGGATTTTATTCACCTTCATCGGGGAAGCTGAGATTGGAGGTGTTGAAAACGGTTATTTTTCATATTAATTCATGATGCAGGATGAAGTGGTGAAGCGGGACTAAATGAATCCCTCTCTTGTCGTGTGGAAGTGCCGACCCCCAGACCATCTCCTTCCGTGGGGTGCCGGGGATGACGGGTCAGACGGGGGGGTGTTGTGTGAGCGGGGGCCGTGGTGCTGAAGGCTTTGGGGCACACGTGGCTCCCAGTGACAGACGGCTTCCCCGCGGCGCTCAGCTTCGGGACTTGGCTGAAATCCGCATGAGAAGATTTATGTCTCTTCTCTGAGTCACACATCTCCTGCAGGAGCGTGCTGTATTTATATTTTTAGTTGTTACTTGGAGCAATTTATAACAGGGATTCCCAGCTCAGTTGCTGCTCTTCGCTTGTAGCGTTTTCATCAAATCGGGCCTGGTGTTTGCCACCGCCTGTTGGGTTACACGTTCACGTGTCTCTCCCTGCACTTTGGACTGCTCCAGACCCTGTTTCCATCCGTCTGGAGCAGCCCAAACCCTGCGATGGACAAGAGTGGATGTGACGACACGGGATGGGTGGTGGCAGTGACTGTGGTCCCCAGCCAAAGCGCCGGTGCTGACGTTTGTGAGTTTGGACCATTTTCCTTTCATCTGTTTTTCCCTGGAAGCCTTGCAAGCTCCCTGAGGTCCCACTTCGGGCATCCCAAGCAAGGAAAGCCAACGGAGAGGTTGGCTCTAACCTGGGGTCTGGTCAGCAGCTGCAGACCCCACTCTCCTCCCCATCCACCCACCTCTACCCTGTGGTCCCACCACTCTCCCTGCCACCTGGGCGGTGTGTTCCTGGCACTGCACAGCTCCGAGGTGCAATATTTCTTCTTTTCTTCTTTTATTCTCGCTAGCTTCACGTGCTGGCTTTGGGCTGGGGTAATTTGAAGAGCTCCATCACATGAATAGGTCTCAGGGCAGGGCTGTCAGGGCAGAAAAGCAGAGAAGTCCACCATGAAGGTCTCTAGACATGAGAGGAAAAGAAAATGCCACTTGGGTCGTAAATCAAGAGAGAGGGGAGAGACAATTGGGCTGATGTGTGTCATTTTCTAACATTGGGAATATGGTCAGCCAGTATTTGTGTTTTGGAGGACGGATCAGGAGAAGTTTTATACAAGACTCTCAATCTGGTCCATGCTTTATGAGAAACATTTTGGAGAGGATTTTTGAAGTAATGCATTAAATCAGAAATGTTTCTGAGACAAAGTGAAGAGTGAATCCTTCTGGTCTGAGACGGTCAGTCTAACGTGTTCATGCGTGACTCGTGCCGTGATGCAGATGTCTCAGTTGCTGAGCTGCTCAGCACACGTAATTCAAGAGCACTTTGGATTCTCCCTAGTTATACCAAATAAGATAGTGCTGCAGAAGCCTTGAGAAACTCTATGTGACCTCTGACATCTTGTTAGCAAGCCCCAGGGACACACAGGTCTTGGAAATTTTCAATAGGTTTCAGCCATCATTATTCTTTGGAAATGCATCCACTTTAAGGGCTCTTTTCTGATTTTTTTTTTTGCACAATTTAGATGGAAAAGCAGTGGAATGTGCCTCTCCTGTTGGATATACACGAAATCGATATTCAGGGACCTGGATTTTTGACCATGCATTGAGATACACGTCTGGTATGTGATGGAAGGGTGTGAAAGTCTAACCAGGGATCAGGGAGCAAGGGAAGACTCTGGATGCAATGTGTGCGTTGCCCAAATTCCAGCTGTGAGGCTCAGGAAAAGCCTGGAAAAACTGAGTGCACCAACTAACCAAAACCCTTCCCATCTTCCCTCATACTACAAACAGCTTTAACCTGCATGACACATCCTGATGGGGACGTGGTCTGATGACCGTGGTGGCAGTGTCCAAGGCAACACGGGCATGTTCTTTGTAAGGCCTTGACAAGTAGCAATGTCTTTTTTTTCCCCCACTTCATCTTTCCTCCACTCTAATAACACATTTATTGTGGGAAGTCATCCCTCCTTTCTCTAATCTAAGGATCTGTGCCTTTGCCCCCAAATCATGGTACGCAGTTGTGGCTGTTCAGTTGTTTCTCGGTGCCTGCAGAACTTCAGATGTGTATCATAGAATCACAGAATGGTTTGGGTTGGAAGGGACCTTAAAGATCATCTCGTTCCACCCCCTGCCCTGGGCAAGGACACCTCCCACCAGACCAGGTTGCTCAAAGCCCCATTCATCCTGACCTGGAATGTGTCCAGGGATGGGGCATGTCCCACCTCTCTGGGCAACCTGGGCCAGGGTCTCACCACCCTTAGAGAGAAAAATTTCTTCTTCTAATCTAAATCTCCCCTCTTCCAACTTGAAGCCATCACCCCTCATTCTATCACTACATGCACTTGTAAAAAGTCCCTCCCCAGCTTTCTTGTAGGTGTAATGCACCTCCCTTACACCCTCCTCAACCTTGCTGTCTTCTGGGGCAAGGCTTTTCCACCCACATGTAGGAGGTGGGTAGAGGTACCCACCTCAAGGTGACTCCAGCCTTCCGCTTGAGACCTGGGTGCTTCAGGATACCTGCAAAACAGCACAGGCTGTGGGACGTGCTGGTCCCTTCAGCTCCTGCCCAGCATGAGGGCTGTGGCACTCACTGGGTTCCGTATTGGGAAGACACCTACATGGTTACTTGTATAGGTTATAGTCTTCTTGAAGAAATGCACAACCAAATGCCTTTATGTGCCATAGACTATCTCCAGAGGAATGGGGAAAGATAAGAAAAATGGGGAAATAAAATCACCGTAGAGTTCCTCACTGTTTTTGACCTGTTTTCCCAGTGCCCTTTGTGGGCAGCACTGGTTGGGTGTGTGGGTGGGTGACAGTTGCCTTCTGCTGCTGGTCCAGCTGAACCACGGCTGCTGCCCAGGGCGAGGGGTTGGTGGAGCCCAAGTGATGGGGAATGTGCTGGTCTTCTGGCTGTGCTGCTCTGGGCTTCCAGCTGGAATAGTGTTCCGGAAAGAATTTTGGAGGCTGGTGATGAATATAAGGAGTCCTTGAGCATGGAAAATGAGGGCTGGCAGGTGCTGACGACTTGCTGATATCCAGGATTTTGCTTCAAAAAGCCTCTGTGGAGTGACCATGGGTGATGGCTGTCCCATATATGTATACCTCTATATAAAATACAATTAGCTATGATAATTAGAAGGCTATGGAGCAGATCAGACATAGTCAATGGACTAGAGTATCAGTATTTTAGAGTATTTTTTCAAATGTGTACTCTTGTGTATCGGACTGCAGCGAGTTGCCTTTCTCACATCAATGACAAAGTGGCCTCCCAAGCTCAGAAGACAGTCCCAAGTGATGCAAACAGTGATGGGCAGGGAATTCAGCACTGGTATCAACTGGAAGGAGGGTTATTTTCTTCCCAAGCTCTAAGCTTGGGCATGGGTTGGGGAAAAAAGAACATGGGTCTAGCGTGCTAAAAAAATACACAGTTGGTTTTGTTCCTGGAAAGAGCTGGCTTTGAGTAGTGCCAGGTGAGTATTGCTGTAAAATGGTGTTTGGGAATATTTATTAGGATGTGTGCATGTGAATGTTTTGTTCTTGTTTGTGGCTTGTCCCTGAGTTTCACAGTTTTGCATGGTCAGGAAAAGATAGCTTCAAGGTTGTGTGAGGAAGCATCCATGGAAATGGAATGCTACATTCATGCAAAATTACATTCAGCCCTTTTTTCTCCCACCTCCTTTTCCCGTAAGGGCTGCTCTGGCCCTGCTGAAGGGCACAGAGAGGATCCCAGGTGCTGCTGATGGACAGCTGGGAAATGCAATACATTGTGCATGTGGGGACTTGAAAGGTGAATTTACAGCCTGTTCACCAACGTGGAGCAGGGGGAGGGAAAGAAAAGGTTGAATCAACTCAAATAACAAATCTAAGGAAATTTCTGTCTGTCCAATAAACAGAAGAGGCTAAATTCATTGCATAATTTCATCATTACAAATGATTCTCCCAGCTCTGTTACCCTGGTTTCATTTAAATGACTGTTTGCAGATGTGTGTTTTCTGGAATTAGAGACACAAATTGGGAAGAGAGACTACTGTGGTCATGTGCTTTTCCTTAAAAAGGTCAAAAGTTCTATTTGTATCTATTTGGTTTCCTCTGGGTGGATATTTACCAAATCTCTGTGGGTTTCTTGAGAAATTCGTACATTGTGCATTTCTTGAGAAATTTTGAAAACTCCTTGCCTCAAGATAACATATTGCCTTCTTTTTTTCAGTTGAAAAGCTTTTTTTCCCATATACGAGGAACTTACTGAAAAGTAATTCAAGGTTATTTCTGTCCATAGGAAATATTAGTCATTATTATAAAATTATAAGTCAGGCTATTTTGAGAGTGGCCCTTTCATGTTCCTGAAGTTATAAAGATATACTGAAAATGTAAGTTCAGGGTAATATGCCAAGGAATCTTAAATAAGGCTGAAAAAAGGACTGAGTCTGGGATAGTGATTTCCTGCATTTATCTCCATGAACCTTCCAAAAATTACTTCGCTGCAAACTGCATTCTTTTGTCCCCAGTTTACGGATAAGTATGCGGTGAGGCTGTTTTTCCTGATCTAATATGGTGATGTATACTTTCCTATCTTGTTTTTCAGGGTCTTACGAGTGTGGAATATGTGGGAAGAAATACAAGTATTACAACTGTTTCCAGACCCATGTGCGAGCGCACAGAGGTATCTCACTCCTGCTCAAATCTTTGGGAATCCTGGGGTAACATTCAGGCTCGGGGACTCATTTTGGGGAAGGGCTAGAGTGCTCTGCTGCTTCTCTGTCCATCGATAGTGCTTCCTTGGGGTGGCCCTGTCACAGGATAAATTTTGGGGCTGTCTGAGCTCTGTGGCAGCAATATTTCTTCCAGGGTCAGGAGCAGCTCTTGCGTCCAATGCAGTATTTACTGCCCAGGGCTCTCGGGGGTCAATGCTATGTGTCAGGAGAGCTGCAAATCTCAAAGTTCCTCCTGGCAAACGACAGCAGGGTCCAGCAGCAGAGTTACCCCCAGGGACAGACGTGTCCCCGCGGTGCCTGCGCTCCTGCCCCACTGGGTGTTCCAGTCCAGCCCTGCAAGTCAGGATGGGGTGTATCAGGGCAGATACTGGCATTGCTATAATGCTGGTGGCCAAGAAAGCCAACAGCATTCTGGCTTGTATTAGAAATAGTGTGACCAGCAGAAGTAGGGAGGTGATTGTGCCCCTGTACTCGGCACTGGTGAGGCCACACCTCGAGTGTTGTGTCCAGTTTTGGGCACCTCAATCCAAGAGAGATCTGGAGGTGCTGGAGCGAGTGCAGAGGAGGGCAACGAAACTAGTGAAGGGCCTGGAAGACAAATCATATGAAGAGCGGCTGAAAGAGCTGGGACTGTTTAGTGTGAGGAAGAGGAGGCTGAGGGGAGACCTCATCACTCTCTACAACTACTTGAAAGGACACTGTAGAGAGGTTGGGGCTGGTCTCTTCTCACAGGTAATTAACAATAGAATGAGAGGGAACGGCTTCAAGCTCCACCAGGGGAGGTTTAGATTGAACATTAGGAAGGAATTTTTCACCGAAAGAGTGGTCGGGCATTGGAACAGGCTGCCCAGGGAGGGGGTGGAGTCCCCATCCCTGGCTGTGTTTAAGGGCCGTTTAGATGCAGTGCTGAGGGACATGGTGTAGGGGAGGACTTTGTAGAGTAGGGTAGATGGTTGGACTCGATGATCCCAAGGGTCTCTTCCAACCTCAATGATTCTATGATTCTATGATTCTAAATCAGAATGATACCTTGGACTCAACCCTACTGTTGGCTGAGGTCACTTTGCAGATACATTGTTTGTATGAAATATCTCGTGCATAGTCAGGAGCGACTTTATTTGAATTTTCTATAGGTCTGGCCAATTTGATGTTGCTTGATTGTAGAAATGTGAAAGTTTTGCTCGGTGTTCTGTACAATTAGCATAGTTTTTGTAATTTGGAGAAATACCTATCTGAAGTAACAGAAGAACAGGGACTTGAAATGAGCTCCTGAGCCTTTCAGTGGTTCTATGTTTTCTCACCGGAGCTGAGCACTGAGTCTGTGTCAGGCCTGGAGAAGCACCTGCTGCAGCTCCACAGCTGTAACCAGCACCATCGGCGCACGTGGTCTTGGATAAAATGACTGACTGGAGTGTCTAAAGGAGCATAAACTCCCAATGAAACGTTTGAAAATCCAGGCATAAAGAAGGCTAATGCAATATTAAATTTCAAATGTGTAAACTCTCAGAATTCAGCAAATACACAGCTGGAAAGGGAACATGCATCTTAACTTCTCAGGGTTTTTCACAGTCCCATAATACATCTTTTAATTGCACAGTTGCATTTTTCTCGTATGCTGTTTAACATCACAGAGCTGCTTCTGTGACCTTAGATACAAGCAGAATTGGTTTTCGGTGCTGGTATTACTTTCTAAACACCAACAAAATTCTTAGAAGTCCTTTAAATGTAACTACAAAGTAGCTTCACTCTGCAGTTTAAAAAAAAGAAATCCCTAAAATAATAGTGAGCAGCAGTTATTTGCTGCCGTGCAGAATGTTTTACTGTTGCATCACAGCACTGCAATAATTTTGCAATAATAATTGCAGTATTTATATTAGAGACAAGGATTGCTTTTATTTTACTTCTCTTCCACAAGCACTATGGGATCTTTAATTCAGATGGAATTTTAGGAGCTGTATTAGTAGCAGTTCACCTCCTACTGTGTGTCCAACTGATTTTTATTTATACATTTATTTATATTTTGATCATGAAATCAAGCTATAGATTAAATGATCTGGATGCATCAACGTACACATGTGCAATTGATATCCATAGTTTTTTCATTAACTTAGTGGAGACACGACTTTACTTTTTGCTTCTGAAGTCTTTTTAATGTGTAGCCACAGAAAATGAAAGTTTTCAAAATTTGAATGTGAGAATTTGTTAGTAATTTTCATATCAGTGGTCGAGAAGCACAATTTATATATGTGAAACTTAAAAAAACATTGCTTTATGTTGCTGTAAATGGATGCATGTAGTGGTAACATTTAAAGTGCATTTGAATTGCCTTAAGACAATACAAATGAAAATGAGACATTTATTCATGTACGCTCCACACAAGAAATCAAACTGAAAACCTGATGCAACTCTGTAAATGTGGTTCTCCCAGAAACAGAACCTGAGCTGGCAGTAAAAGCAGTGGGGAAGTACCTGTCTGCAGAGAAACAAGGTGCCAGTGAATGTGCATGTAATGTGTAGTTAGGAGAAAAAAAGCACAGATTATAGGGAGGAAAGCCCTGTGAGATACCAGCCAGTGAGAATCGTAGATGGAACTGGACCAGTCACAGTGGTGGGAATAGCATGAGACTGCAGGACTGAAAAACCTTTGTGAGGGCTGCTTTTATTGCCACACGTATCTAGGGTTTCGTGTAGAAGTGGCTGGTGTTGCACCATCACCACAACCAGGGGATGACGTGGGGGTGGCACGTACGCTGAGGATGGGATTCTGCGCTTCCCGTGTTCTCCCTGAGGATCTTCAGCTCCGTGCCCTGGCTCAAACCCTGGGGTGCTGGCAGGGCAGCTCTGCTCTCTCAGCTTGTCCTCGAAGCACTGAAAATTGAACTCCCTTGGCATATTATGCACAATTATCAGCTGCCAGAAACTCGGATCGTGAATCTTTTAGTCATTTCTTTTTGGCTGGGCAAGGAAGGAGCCGTGTTGCGGGGGCAGGACCTGGCAGTCCCTCTGAGCCTGATGCTTTTTCCGAGCGTCAGCCGTGGTTTCCCCGAGGTCTGGGCCACCCATCAGTCCCATAACGTCTGTCTTGCCCTGAAGGTTTGACTGATCCTGGCTAGACTCACCAGCTCAGCATTGGAGTAGCTAGAACAAACCCAGGCTGCTTTTTCTTCTCTTTAGGTGCTTTCTTCCAGGACTTTTTGGGCATTCAAGCAGAAATAATCTGCTTTTTGTGATTTGCTGAAGGATACAGCCCTTCCCTGGAATAGCCCTGTGCTTTTCACTTGTGTGATGCCTGTGTCACTGGTGGTCCTTGGCCAAGCTGTGCGTTGGTCCTGCAGATGGACAGAGCTAGTGATGGAAAAGGGAGAGCAGATAGTAATCGTGTCAATCTGGTTTGGATCTTTGGGGCAGAACAACTGAAAAAGCATCTGTCCAGCCAGCTCCACTGTCACCATTCAGTGACCCGACTTGTGTCCCCGGGTCAGGAGGTTTGGAGGTCCCAAGTTGTCCTTGCTTTGAAGGGGGTTATTTCTAAGCTGGTTTTTGTACATCTTGGTGTCCAGTTTGGAGCCACAGCAGATAAACTGGGGGCTTGCAGTTCATGGCCAGTGCAGGTGGGAGCTCTATTGCCCTCTCGGCTCTTGCAGTCAGTCCTTACTCATCAGTCACTTGTTTTGCCCTGTGCAAAACTTAAATTTCTTCTCACCCTTTGAGCTGTTCAGTTCCACACTGGGACTTTCACACTGGCAAGATCTCTAAAGGTTAAACATCACATTTTTTCTTTGTAATGATAGTTTTTGGGAGAAATTTCCTAGATCGTTTTTTAAACCTGCACCTGCCTCCTCTCTGGATCTCCAGGGCGGAGAAGCTGTGTTGGGAAGTGACCCGTGCTCTTTAGGCTGATTTTTTTTCTTGTCCGCCTTCAGGAACGGGTGGTTTCTTACTGGAAAACAGTGGATTTTTCTTAGTTTCTTGAGCTTTCCCTGTGGTACTCAGCATTGGCTGGAGAATTTCAGGGAGTGATTGATCTCCTGGCAGTTTGCAAGTGCAGAGGGTTGAGGCAGCTCTTCAAGACGTGCTGCCTCGAAGGGACAGGCTCCTTTGCTGCTTTGCTCTGAGAGCCGAGATGCTGGTGTGGAAAACCCCACGTAAAGAGTTCTGCGAAGAACCAGAAACGTAGGTAAGAAGTTTACTCACTACGTTTTGTCAAGGAAGAAATGCAAAGGTCGCATTCCTTCCCCTTCGCCTTCCCAAAATGCGCAAATAAAAATGAAACCCAACAACAGCAACAAAAAGTGATGTTGTGGAGCTGAAAGGCTCCTTTGTGAGCTGATGTGCAGCCCCGCAGGACCCCGTCTCCTTCCTCTGTCCGAGCTGCTGGAGTCCGGGGGGAGCAGAAAGGCTGCGGGTTCCTGGAGGCAACAGAAGGGCCGTCCCAGCCATCGGCGCAGACAAACACTGTCGCTGCGCCTACAGGCGACCCAGGCCTTCAAAATTTGGGGCTTACAGTGCTTTTTGTTGAGCTGTGTGGGGTTTTTTGAAGTTATTAAAAGGCTTGGATTCCCTTCAGGTGTTAGTCAGCTAGAAAGTTTTGTTTTGTACGGTTGGGTCGTATTTAAGCAACAAAAGCAGCAAAACATCTGCATGTTTTGAGTCAGGAAAATTATTTCACTTTCAGATAACTCAAAAAAAAAGAAGGCTGAAATGACTTTATTAGACTTTCGGAAAGTAAATTTAAAAACCTCTGGGCTGAGGCCAAGCAAGGGAGATTTTTACCCAAAGGAGAATTCTTCAGAAAGCAAATGAAAGAAAAGAGCTAAGCTCGAGTTTAACCCTCGCAGGATATATTGCCTCTCTCCTAATAATTGGTGGAAGTTCTGTTTCCAGATAAGCTTTTCTGGGCTGAACGATGATTTTACTCCAGTTGTTATTCTTCATTATTTATTTACGCTATTTAGTTGGTGCATTGCCTCCCTCTGAGCCCATCAGCTCTCCACTACTGTGTGGGTGTGGGAGCCGAAGGGCAGCTCTGCCGTTGTCAGAATAGGTGCTGAATGCACGCGGGTAGGAAGGTTCTCTTCAGGCGAAGTTTCTACTTCAAACCAATTGTTCAAAAAACTGCTCAAAGCTTTAAAAGTTTCAGATTCATATTTTCCAAGAATGGGTTCTGCTCAATTCCAAAAATATGAAAAGGAAGATGACTCGTTCAAACCGTGAATATGGAAAAATGTGTTTTTCCAAAGTGCACATTTCTGGAGTCTGAGTTGGAGCAGTTTTGTGACTGCAGTGATTTTGAGGTGAGAAGTTGAAAATTAATAGCGAAATAACCATTCTTGAGGAGAGATGGTGTTTCTGAGCTGAAGAAAGTTGGGTTTCATTTGTATGAATATCAGCTACTGAAAAATCATAGGATTTAGGGGCATCCTTTGCCCCCTGGGCTGCATCCCAAGCATAGATTATTTATTGTGTACATTTCCCAGTCTATAGCAGAATTTTGTAGGAGATGCAGAAAGTTGCTCGAGACACAGGAGTTAACTTGCCTATTTCCCAGCTTTCCCATCAACCTTCCTACTCTCACTTACTTTTGCAACTTTCTCAGAAATTGGTCTTTTGTTTTGAAGCTGTAATTACTTGGTCTCAGCCCAAAGGTGAATTAGAGTGGGTTGTTAGGGGATTTTTAGTTTTTTTTTTTTTTAATTCGTGAAGACTTTAGCCTGTCTTATGACTAAGAGTAATAACAATTCTTAACACAGTTCAGAAATGGCTGCTCCTATAAACGTTAGTGTGTTGCTCGATTCTTGTTAAGTTTGACTGAAGTACTTTTTAAAGCTATTTAAATGACAGAAATGGCCTGGTGCATGCATAGTACACAGCTTTTATGGTTTATTTATGCCATTGTCTGTGAACGCCAGGACAGCATTCTGCAGAACTACATTGTGCCACAGCTCGCTTTTTCCTTGAGTGATAGGTGGTAATTCAAACAAGTAGCAGCTGTGGAAAAACACAGGGGTTTGACTGTCGAGGTTTTGCATATGATACCGAGGGTTGGTGATCTGGCCCCTCAGTTTATGAAGTTGTGCCAAATTAATTACGTTGCCTAGAAAAGTGATCTAATCAGGCGGGTTAATCAAGTAGAAATGTACAAATTCGCAAACCCACAATCATTTGTTTTTATTATTTTTGAGAAATAAGGAAATTAAATGCAAACAGTGTTCATTACTTAAGGTTGCAAATTTTAAATTCAAAAATGCTGTGACATTCCACAGCTGTGGTTTTCAGAGCAACGCGAGCGTGATTCCAAGAGACATACGGAATATTTTGAAACGTAGTTATGTTATTAGATAATGTGACATACAGTATATGCAATTTAGGATGAATATGAAACACTTCAAAACGGCTTGGAAATCCTAATCATTTATGATCCCTGACTTACTGTAACACTGGGTTTTCTTTTCCAGCTTGCAGCTTTGCGCATTGCGTTCGTTCAGAGCTTGAATGTGATCTTTGCTGTGTGTTTCTTGCTGTCCCACATCTTAGGAGCGGGGGGAGCTTTTCCTCCCACCTTTCCTCACGTCCCTTCATTAAGACCAGGACAGAATAGTCCTGGGGGGGGATCCTTGTGGCCACCTCTGGTAGAGGTTGTGCCATGTCTGTGGAGGGCAGACACAGCAGTGGAGCTGTGCCCTCCCCCATTTGCTCTCCTGGGTTGACAGAACTTGCCCAGGAATTAAGCACGGGAGCAATTTCAACAAACCTTCAGTAGAAATTAGGAAACGCATCGTTACCATCTCCACTGATGATGGTGGGACGGTTCGGGTGCGTGGGCCCAGCCTGTGGGTGCCTCGGCGCGGCCCCTCAGCCTGGAGACATGACAGCAGCCGGCCTGAGGCGGGGAGGGGTGATGGCGGGGCTCTCCCTGGGCAGAGCAGGGCAGCCCTGGCACCCCGTGCCTCTCCACCCGAGGCTCCCTGAGGCTCTTCTGTGACGGCTCAGGGAACAAGAGCCCCGGTGTTGGAGGCTCTTCCAAAGGCAGCCGTGTTTTATTGAACAGCCCTCGCGGTGGCCTGCTTTGGCCCCACAGCCCGTCCCCGCTGGGGGCTGCTGGCCTTTCGCAGCCCACTCCATCAGCAGCCACCATCCCACCCGGGGAGCCTCTGCCTCACACAGGGCAGCCGCTCTGGTGATGCTCTGTGCCCGGCCTCTCTGCCATGGCGGAGGAGAGCGGCGGCCGGAGGAGAGGGAGCGAGCGAGGCCCCGGGGCCGGCCGAGGCGCAGTGGACGCGGGGCAGAGTCAGCCGTCAGATCTAAGTGCAGCTCTTTCTCTTTGCAGACACTGAAGCTGCCTCAGGTGAAGGAGCCTCACAAGGCAGTAAGTACTCATGGCGCTGGGGGTGCGTAAGGGGGGGACCGGGGCCTGGCGTGCGGGCGCGCTGCGGTGCCCTCTGCGGGCGCTCCCCCCTCCGCCACAGGGCCGGC